AAGATTTTAGACAGAATCTGCTTATGCATTGTGAAATCTATGTATTTACCCATAGACAACTGTGGTGGCAAACCTGAGGGATCTCAGCTCACTGCAACCTCTGCCTCCCGAGTTCAAGAGATTCTCCTGCCTCAGCCTCCTGAGCAGGTGGGACAGAGGCATGCGCCACCACGCCCGGCTAATTTTTGTATTTTTAGTAGAGATGGGGTTTTACCATGTTGGTCAGGCTGGTCTCGAATACCTGACCTCGTGATCCGCCCACCTTGGCTTCCCAAAGTGCTGGGATTACAGGCGTGAGCCACTGCGCCCAGCCATATCCTGGGGATTAAAATCTCTTACATCATTTTTTTTTTCCCTAAATATTTCTGGTGAAATATTTTTAAAGGAGTGAAATGTGTATTTTTGCCTCTTGGGATTTATTCTGTCATTCAGTCTAAAGACCTTCTTCAGCTAAGTGTAATTATTCTCAGCTATAGGTCCTACCAGGCTCAGTCTGATTTGTTATTTACGTTCCTTTTCTTTTCTGTTTTTCTGGAGACAGAGTCTCACTCTGTCACCCAAGCTGGAGTGCAGTGGTGCCATCTCGGCTCACTGCAACCTCCGCCTCCCAGGTTCAAGCAATTCTCCTGCCTCAGCCTCCCGAGTAGCTGAGACTACAGGCAAGCACCACCACACCCAGCTGATTTTTTGTATTTTTAGTAGAGATGGGGTTTCACCATGTTGTCCAGGCTGATCTTGAAAACTTATGGAGAAAGACAATACAATGATGGTTACCAGTGACTGGGATTACAGGCGTAGCACTGCGGCAGCCGTTACCTGTTCCTTTTCACAAACTTTAGAACTGAAGAAAATTTTAGGCCAGGTGTGGTGGCTCACACCTCTAATCCCAGCACTTTAGGAGGCCAGTGTGGGTGGGTTACTTGAGCCCAAGAGTTTGAGACCATCTTGGGCAACATGTTGAAATCACATCTCCACAAAACTTAGCTGGGGGTGGTAGTGTGCATCTGTAGTCCCAGCTATTTGAGAAGCTGATGTGGTAGGATTACCTGAGCCCAGGGAGGTCAAGGCTGCAGTAAGCCATGATCGTGATACTGCACTTCAGCCTGAGTGACAGAGACCCTGTCTAGAAAAAAAAAAAAAAGAAAAAATGTTAGAAGCAAACATATTAGTGCCGGGAATCAATCTCTTGCCCCACAAGTATTTTTTATTTGTGGAGCAATCACCTTCAAACTCTTGTTCTTCAAGTCTGATCTGGATCTTTGGGGCTGAGCTCTGTTATGAAGTCATGTTCTACGAAACAGTAATAATCTCATTTTCTTATTGACCAAAAAAGACATACATATTTAAGACTGGGCACAATGACTCAGGCCTGTAATTCCAGCCCTTTCGGAGGTTGAGGCGAGAGGATCATTTGAGCTCAGGAGTTTGAGACCAGGCTGGGCAACATAGTGAGACTTGGTTTATCTCTCAAAACAAAAACAAAAACAACATAAATATTAAAAAACAAACAAACAAAAAACAGATTAGGAGAAGAATGAGTGATAAAAAACATTACTTAGAATCAAATATATTGGGTCGGGCACAGTGGCTCATGCCTGTAATCCCAGCACTTTGGGATGCTGAGGCAGATGTATTACCTAAAAAAATAAAAGTATCATCTTAAGTACTTGTTAAAAGAATGAAAATAGGCTGGGCACAGTGGCTTATGTCTGTAATCCCACCTCTCTGGGAGGCTGAGGTGGATGGATCAACTGAGGTCAGGAGTTCGAGACCAGCCTGGCCAACATGGTGAAACCGTCTCTACCAAAAATACACAAATTAGCTGGGTGTAGTGGCGCACACCTGTAATCCTAGCTACTTGGGAGGCTGAGGAAAGAGAATCGCTTGAACCTGGGAGGTGAAGGTTTTGGTGAGCCGAGATCAGCCACTGCACTCCAGCCTGGGTAACACAGCAAGACTTTGTCTCAAAAAAAAAAGAATGAAAATGAGCTAGGTACTTACTATCACAAGTTAGAAAAAGAATAGCAAACTGGGAGCAGTGACTGACACCTGTAATCCCAGCAATTTGGGAAGCTGAGATGGGAGGATCTCTTGAGTCCAGGAGTCCGAGACCAGCCTGGGAAACATAGTGAGACGACATCTCAAAAACAGTAATTTTTTTTTTTTTAGATGGAGTTTCGCTCTTGTTGCCCAGGCTGGAGTGCAATGGTGCAATCTCAGCTCCCTGCAACCTGTCTCCCATGTTCAAGCGATTCTCCTGCCTCAGCCTCCCAAGTAGCTGGGATTACAGGCATGCACCACCACGACAGGCTAATTTTGTATTTTTAGTAGAGACAGGGTTTCTCCATGTTGGTCAGGTTGGTCTCAAACTTTCGACCTCAGGTGATCTGCCCACCTCAGCCTCCCAAAGGGTTGGCATTACAGGCATGAGCCACTGTACCCACTTGGGTAAAAAATTTTACCCAAGAAAAAAATTTTTTTAGAGACAGGGTCTTGCTATGTTGTGTAGGCTGGATTTGAATTCCTGGCCTCAAGCAACCTGCTTGAACTTGGCCTCCCAAACTGCTGGTATTACAGGTGTGAGCCATTGCACTTGGCCTAATCTCAGTTTTGAATAGGTAGGTGTCTCCAGAGGAAGGTTTCTTTGGTGTATCTTCAAAGGTCTACTGGATAAATGCTAAAATACTCTTTATAAAGAAACACTACTCACAAAAGATTTCAAGTAATACACTTATTTTAATAGTACAAAATGTAATCTGCTTTCCAACCAATGAAAGAAAAACTTTCAAAAAATTTATGAAACCAGTCAATACCTTGAACAAAGAAAAACGCAAATAACTAAGTAAATATTACAATTATGTACTCCAAACCCCAAAAAACAGAGACCATCATTACAAGCCAAATCTTTTTTAGAGTTGGTTGTTGCAGGTTACTAAAATGCATAAAACAAAATCTCTACTTTTCAGACTTACAGAAAAGAAATAAAACAACTCCAATAAGAAAGCTAACTTAAGTTTCATGGGAAGCAGATCATATTGATGACTTTAAAATGTTTTTCAAGGAGTTTACGGAACAGAACATCTATATCTTGATTTTTATGGCAAATGAGATTTGTATTGACTTTTGAAGCTTATGTGTCTTTTGACATATCGCTCAGAAGTAAAAACCAATCAAGAGGGACAATAACATTCAGGGGACCCACAGGACTTTAACCTGATCTGAAAACATAAAGCAAAATTTTGAGACAAATTAGTTTAAAAATGCAAATGTATTTTGGTTTAGAATTAAATATTAAACAAAAATTATCACAATTAGGATGTGACTGAAGTTTGAGGAAATTTTTGTCTACTTCATACATCGTATTGGTCATTTAATAATGTGTATGACAAGGGTATGACATCAGAAAACAATACTTACAGCAAGTCTATTATTACTGCTAGAAATTGATAAAACTAGTGTTTTGGATGTAACATTGTTTGACGTGTCATTATTTAATAAAATAAAATAGAAAATTTTGCTGTAAAACATTCTTCAGAAAGACGGAAACTGCCTAGGCAAGTGAGTATCTATATATCTCAATGAATTTCTATATACATCTCCTTACTACATCACAAGCACAAAAACATTAATATATTTACATGTATGTACTAGACAAAAATGAATTAACTTTCCCTAGAAAAACTATACTTATTAAGAAAACATTGCTGGGCGTGGTGGCTCACACCTCTAATCTCAGCACTTTGAGAGGCTGAGACAGGCAGATCACAAGGTCAGGAGATTGAGACCATTCTCTGGCTAACAAGTGAAACCTTGCGTCTACCTTAAAGAATAAAAAAAGTTAGCCGGACGTTTCTCTTGAGTCCCAGAAGTCCGGTGGAGAGACACCTATGGTCGCACGCTAACTCCCTGGTAGGGCAGGAATGGCGTGAAACGGGAGGGGAGCTGTGCAGTTGAGAGCTGAGATTCATGCCCCATGGCGACGTACAACAATGAGGTGGAAAAGAGCAAGTAGAGCTCCATCTTCAAAAAAAAAAAGAAAAGAAAAAACAGAAGACCATTAATTAAGACCACCATAGAAACAAAAAGCTAAGGCTTCCCACTTAATTTAATAAGGCTCTCCATTTTCAATATGTCTGTAGGATGGGTGCTTATTGCTTTCTCTTTGTTTTTTTGAGACAAGGAGGTTTGCTCTGTTTGCCTGGCTTTAGGCTGGCGCTTCGCCAGAGTTTTGGCAGCGAGTGCAATGGTGCAATTTCAGCTCCCTGGGCCAAACCGGTCTCCCGATGTTCAAGCGATCCTGGCCTCAGCCTCCAGTAAGCTGATACAAAGCATGGCCCACGGTTCAGCTCACGGATGCAAAGCCTTAACTGCTCCTAAGCTCAAGTTGAATCCTCCTGCCTTAAGGCGTCCTGAGGTAAGCTGGGACCACAGGCACAAGCCACCATGCCTGGCTAATTTTTGTATTTTTTGTAGAGGTGGGGTTTCGCCATGTTTCCCAGGCTGGTCTTCAATTCCTGGACTCAGGCTATTCGCCCACTTTGGCCTCCCAAACTGCTGGTATTCCAGGTGTGAGCCACCGCACCCAGTCCTACTTTCTCTTAATAGCATTTTAGTAATGGAGAAAAAGGATAAAAGTTTGTAGACAGATACATCTCTACTCCAGAAATATCTGCTAACAGAAGCCAGATAACCTAAAAATCATAGCTCTATCTATTTATGGGAAAATGGCTCATGTTTTTGTCAGTGGTAACACTTCTTCTTATACTTAAAAGTTAATCCTTAGGGCTTGTACTATAGCAGAAAGCACTAGTTTAGTTAGGAGACATTTTTCCTAAGTGTCCTATTACTTAAACCTTTGGTACAAAGATGAGTAAGTTGACAGTAAGCTATGAGGCCTACTATCCAGACTTCATCACCATCATTCTGCAGAGATCTAAAAAACATACAGATTAACTATAACATCATCAGAAGGAATTTTACTCAGCTTGTAATGACCTAAAAACAAAGGCTAAACAGCAATGGGACCCTGAAATAATATCAAGTACATTCCGCTTGGTTGTTCCAACGGTGGTCAAAGGGTCTAGTGGTAGAAATGGCAGTCCTGAAACAGATCTTGATAAATTTGCTTGACCACATTCTTCAGGTAGTTGTTCTCCAGTGGCACTTTAGATAGAATGGCAGCAATATCATCTTGGCTGGAAAGAACAAAAGTTAATCAATTTTTTTTTTTTTTTGCAACGGAGTCTTGCTCTGTCGCCCAGGCTGGAGTGCAGTGGAACAATCTCAGTTCACTGCAAGTTCCACCTCCCGGGTTCATGTCATTCTCCTGCCTCAGCCTCCCGATTAGCTGGGACTACAGGTGCCTGCCACCATGCCCGGCTAATTTCTGTATTTTTAGTAGAGATGGGGTTTCACTGTGTTAGCCAGGATGGTCTCCTGACCTTGTGATCCGCCCGCCTTGACCTCCCAACGTGCTAGGATTACAGGCATGAGCCACTGCACCTGGCCAGGTTAATCAATTTTTTAAAAATCTTACACTTGTCTCCAACTGAGTGGAATTTATGTTCTTGGTCTCTCAGTTTCCTAGGAAGCACAAATGAGCATTTCTGGAAATAACCAGATGTCCAGTTTGAAATGGGATTCCAAAACAGGGCCTAAGAACCAATTCTATATGTAATTGTGAAGTATCTTAACCTAGCTACTTTTGTTGGTCATAAAAAATGTTAGTTTTGGTGTTTGCTGGCAAATATAAGGTGAGCACATTTTATTTTATTTTTTTGGGAGGACGGAGTCTTGCTCTGTCGCCCAGGTTGGAGTGCAGTTAGTGGCACGATGTAGGCTCAAGGCAACTTCCATTTCCCGGGTGCAAGCAATTCTCCTGCCTCAGCCTCCCAGGGATTACAGGCGCCTGCCACCACGCCTGGCTATTTTTTCTATTTTAAGTAGAGACAGGGTTTCATCATGTTGGCCAGGCTGGTCTCAAACTTCTTTTTTTTTTTTTTGAGACAGAGTCTCTCGCCCAGGCTAGAGTGCAGTGGCCGGATCTCAGCTCACTGCAAGCTCCGCCTCCCGGGTTCCCGCCATTCTCCTGCCTCAGCCTCCCAAGTAGCTGGGACTACAGGTGCCCGCCACCTCGCCCGGCTAGTTTTTTGTATTTTTTAGTAGAGATGGGGTTTCACCGTGTTAGCCAGGATGGTCTCGATCTCCTGACCTTGTGATCTGCCCACCTCGGCCTCCCAAAGTGCTGGGATTACAGGTGTGAGTCACCACGCCTGGCCAAAAACAAAGGGTCTCGTCATGTTGGCCAGGCTGGTCTCAAACTTCTGGCCTCAAGCGATCTGCCCAACTTGGCCACCCAAAGTGCTGGGATTACAGGCATGAGCCACCATGCCCGGCCTAGGTGAGCACATTTTTAACATCTGTTATCTTCCAATCTGTCAGCAGTGTATCTAAAAAGTCACAGAATACATCACAGACTAGGAGCAATGAGACATTTTTAGGTCTGGTTCCACAGACTCTGTTTTGAGACAGCCTGGTTCTGTCACCTAGGCTGGGGCCCAGTGGCATGATTCTGGCTCATCGCAACCTCCACCTCCCAGGCTCAAGCAATCCTCCCACCTCAGCCTCAAGATTAGCTGGGACTACTCACCACCACACCCAGTTAATTTACATATATTTAGTAGAGGCGGGGATTCGCCATGTTGGCCAGGCTGGTCTCGAACTCTTGAGCTCAACTGATCCGCCCACCTTGGCCTCCCAAAGTGCTGGGCTTACAGGTGTGAGTCACCACGCCTGGCCAAAAACAAAGGGTCTCGTCATGTTGGCCAGGCTGGTCTCAAACTTCTGGCCTCAAGCGATCTGCCCAACTTGGCCTCCCAAAGTGCTGGGATTACAGGCTTGAGCCACTGCGCCCGGCCCAACTCTGTTTTTAAGGTCATAAAAGTTGTTTACATATTATCTGTACTAAGCTAATGGTGAGTTTTTTCCTTCTTGATTCATGTTTTAGGTTGAAGTATTCAAAAAGTGAAGCAGGTACAAAAGAATAGACCAGTGGTCTCCAGCATCCACTGGAGATAGCAATGAAGGTCACTGACTTTAAGAAAAAATTCTTCGCCTGTAATCCTAGCACTTTGGAAGGCTGAGGTGGGCAGATCACTAGGTCAAGAGATCGAGACCACCCAGGCCAACATGGTGAAACCCCGTATCTACTAAAAATGCAAAAATTAGCTGGGTGGGTGTGGTGGCGTGTGCCTGTAAATCCCAGTTACTCGGGAGGCTGAGGCAGGAGAATCACTTGAACCCAGGAGGAGGAGGTTGCAGTGAGCCGAGATTGTGCCACTGCACTCCAGCCTGTTGACAGAGTGAGACTCCATCTCAAACACACACACACACATACACAATCTTCAAAATGAACTCAAGAGAACTGATATTTAGCTCTCACTATGGTCCACTGATTTGCTGACCACTTTGAGGAATCCTTCAAATAAAATGAACATTAAAAAGTAGTCCAGAGTCTTACCCTGTTGGCCCTTTACTCACCTAGTGTTCCCAACATGATTCTGAATGGTGGAAGGTAATGGTACAGATGGATAATAGGCTGAGAGAGACAAAGTTATTTCAAACTTTGCAAATGCTGCAGAGCTAGAGAATAAAAGTCTCAATCTGTAAACGACAAGATCCACAATTAAAAATGCAACACAATAACAGCATGAAACACAATTTTTTTTTTTTTTTGAGATGGAGTCTAGATCTGTCTCCCAGGCTGGAATGCAGTGCACCATTTTGGCTCACTGCAACCTCCACCTCCCAGGTTCTATCGATTCTCTCAAGTAGTTGGGATTACAGGCGCCTGTCACCACATCCTCTAAGTTTTGTATTCTTAGTAGAGACAGGCTTTCGCCAATGTGGCTTCAAACTCCTGACCTCAAGTGATCCGCCTGCCTCACCTCCCAAAGTGTTGGGATTACAGGCGTGAGCCACTGTCCCAGCCCAATTTCATTCAGTTTTTAACTGGCACGTCCAAGTTAGGTATACATTATTTCTTTTCCTTTTTTTCTTTTTTTTGGAAACGGAGTCTCACTCTGTTGCCCAGGTTGGAGTGCAGTGGCGTGATCTTGGCTCACTGCAACCTCCGCCTCCCAGGTTCAAGCAATTCTCCTGCCTCAGCCTCCTGATTAGCTGGGACTACACATGTGCACCACCACACCCAGTTAACTTTTGTATTTTCAGTAGAGATGGGGTTTCGCCTCGTTGGCCACATTGGTCTTAAATTTCTGACCTCAAATAATCTACCTGTCTCACCTCCCAAAGTGTTGGGATTACACGTGTGAGCCACCGTCCCAGCCCAATTTCATTTTCTTTTCACACAGGCATGTCCAACCAAGTTAGGTATATATTCTTTCTTTTCTTTCTTTTTTTTATTTTGAGACGGAGTCTCACTCTATCACAGGCTGGAGTGCAGTGGCGCGATCTCGGCTCACTGCAACCTCCACCCTCTGAGTTCAAGCGATTCTCCTGCCTCAGCCTCCCGAGTAGCTGGGACTACAGGCGCCCGCCGCCTCGCCCGGCTAATTTTTTGCATTTTTAGTAGAGACGGGGTTTCACCGTGTTAGCCAGGATGGTCTCGATCTCCTGACCTCGTGATCCGCCCGCCTCGGCCTCCCAAAGTGCTGGGATTACAGGCTTGAGCCACCGCGCCCGGCCAATTTTTTGTATTTTTAATAGAGATGGGGTTTCACCATCTTGGCCAGGCTGGTCTTGAACTCCTGACCTCGTGATCCACCCACCTTGGCCTCCCAAAATGCTGGGATTACAGGTGTGAGGAGATGGAGTCTTTCTGTGCCCAGGTTGGAGTAGGCGCCTGTCACCACATCCTCTAAGTTTTGTATTCTTAGTAGAGACAGGCTTTCGCCAATGTGGCTTTAAACTTCTGACCTCAAATAATCTACCTGTCTCACCTCCCAAAGTGTTGGGATTACACGTGTGAGCCACCGTCCCAGCCCAATTTCATTTTCTTTTCACACAGGCATGTCCAACCAAGTTAGGTATATATTCTTTCTTTTCTTTCTTTCTTTTTTTTATTTTGAGACGGAGTCTCACTCTATCACAGGCTGGAGTGCAGTGGCGCGATCTCGGCTCACTGCAAGCTCCGCCTCCTGGGTTCACGCCATTCTCCTGCCTCAGCCTCCTGAGTAGCTGGGACTACAGGCGCCCACCACCATGCCTGGCTAATTTTTGTATTTTTAGTAGAGACAGGGTTTCACCATATTGGCCAGGCTGGTCTTGAAGTCCTGACCTTGTGATTCGCCCACCTCGGCCTCCCAAAGTGCTGGGATTACAGGAGTGAGCCACTGTGTCAGTTGTTGACCAAGTTGACCAAGTACTTACTGTATATATATATTTATTTAATAAATTGTTGACCAAGTACTTACTGTTGGGTTGAACTGGATTCTCCCAAATTCATATGTTGAATTACAAACCCCTAATACCTCAGAAAGTGACCTTATTTGGAAACCTGGTCGCTACACAAGTAATATGTTAAGATGAAGTCCTTCTAGAGTAAGGTGGGCCCCTAATCCACTATGACTAGTGTCCTTATAAAAAGGGGAAATGTGGATGCAGACATGCACAATGAAAGAACACCATGTGAACATGAAGGGAGGTTATGCATTTACAAGCCAAGGAATGCCAAAGATTGCCAGCAAACCACCAGACATTGGGAGAAGGCATGGACAGATTCTAACAGCCCTCAGAAAGAACAACACTGTTTACACCTTAATCTCAGACTTCCAGCCTCCAGAACCTGTTGTTTAAGGTACCCAATTTGTAGCACTCTGTCATGGCAGTCCTTGGGAACTAATACACTTACTCAGTATTATTAACATCTATGTTCATTAGGTTATAATTTGGTCCCCATCTCTTTAAATACTCAATCTCCTCTCCAAGGAGTCTGCAATGGTGCACTACCAGTGAAAATTCTTCAAGCATCTAGAAAAAGTGGGAAAAAAAATCCAATGAAATTATGAAAACATTTCAATGCTTAGTGGCTCACTTATAACTAACTCAAAAAAGTTAAACAATTGAATACATTTATCATTTCAGGGTCCACTATCATTTATGTAAAGTTTCAGTTCTGCTTTTTTTTGGAAAGATATCACAAATTTTCCTTTAAATACTTCAATCAGGCTTTACCTTGGGTACCTGATGTTGGGTTCTACATGTCTTCTTCCAGGATTCCTTTTCCTCAACGTACTGGAAAATAAGCTTATGAACTAAAAGGGAGGAAGGAGGAGCTTGATCCTCTGGAGAAGGAAAAAAAAGCAAAAGCAGGTTAATATTTATGATACATGTATTTTATATAAGCAAAAAATACTATATTATATAAGCTAGAAATACTCTAAACACTACCAGGTACATAAGTATTCTGTCCCTTTTTTTTTTCTGGAGTCTCCCTTCTCCCTCTGTCGCCCAGGTTGGAATGCAACGGCATGATCTTGGCTCACTGTAACCTCTGCCTTCCCGGTTCAAGCAATTCTCCTGCCTCAGCCTCCTGAGTAGCTGGGATGACAGGCATCTGCCACCATGCCTGGCTAATTTTTGTATTTTTAGTAGAGACAGGGCTTCACCACGTTGGTCAGACTGGTCTTGAACTCCTGACCTCAGATAATCCACCCGCCTTGGCCTCCCAAAGTGCTGGGATTACAGGCGTGAGCTACGGCACCCAGCAATCCTGGCTTTCTTTAATACCTAACTGATCCTAGACACAACACTTAAGTTTTTTGATCTGTAGTTTCCTAATTTGTAAAATGGGGAACAAATCGCGTGGACTTCATAGTGTTAAGTAATACACATGCCTGATACAGACTAAGTGCCCATAATAGTAATTTTTAAATTATGAAAATAGCTACTATTAATCATTGCTCAAGACCTAGTAATCATTTTTTTTGTTTTTTTTTTTGCTGAGGCAGGAGGCAGAATGGCATAAACGCCGGGAGGGCGGAGCTTTGCAGTGGAGGCAAGATCCGGCCACCTCGCACTCCGCCTGGGCGACAGAGGCGACGACTCCTGTCTCAAAAAGGAAAAAAAAATTATAACACGCCGGGGCAATGGCAGGGCCCTCATGCTGTAATCCGACAGGCAGCTTTGGGCAGGCCGAGGCAGTGGATTACGATGTCAGGAATCAAGACGCGCCGCCTGGCTAACGACGGTGAAACCCCCGTCTCCTATGAAATACCAAAAATATTAGGCCCAGGGCATGGTGGCGAGCGGCCCTGTAGTCCCAGCTACTCGGAGGGCTGAGGCATGGAGCATGGTGTGACCAGGAGGCAGAGCTTGGCAGGTGAGGCCGAGATCGCTCCACTGCGCACTCGGGCAGCCTGGGCGACAGGAGGCGAGATATGCAGTCTGCGAAAAAAAACAAAAAAATGATTACTCGGTTCTCTTGAGCATGAGTTAATCAAGTAGCATACTTTTTTCATAGTGGTAAAAATTATGCTATTATAGCGGCACTGGAAACTTAGTCTGGTATC